CTTCTTTATTATGAAACTATTACGTACGTCTTTCTAGACGATTATACATTACTTCCCTTGCAGGTTTTGGGTTCTTGTTTGTACTATACAATAGGCTCTGTACTATGTACGACATAACGGCAACACTTCTATATTCTTTTTCTTCTCTCGTCTATTTGTTGTATTTTTAGAGATCGTTTTACCTTTTCTATTCGAAACCTATTGTGATTTCTTGACATTAATAAAAGTTATTTGTATTCTTTAGGCACTCCTCTTTTTCGTTCTTCATTACGTAATATCTCGAAAATTATCGATATTTATAAAATAATACATAATATTGTATAAAGAATATACATATTGCTATTCTTTCCAATAGAAGTCGACCTTCTTCGAATCAACATGTGTCCTATATACATAATATAAACAATTGTTATAGAAAACGATGCTTTAATGCAAATTTATATTTCTTTTTCTTTTTTTTTTCTAGTATTTTTCTTGTTTGTTTTTTTTCGTCTACTTCATTTGTGTGTGTGTATTCATCGATTTAACAAAGATTAAAATAGATGATGAAACAACCAGATGAAAATATTTCAACAACACATTCTGATCATATGATATGTAATGGTCATCAAGATGATTTAATAAAAACTCGTCAAGATTCCGATAATGATGATTCAGCAACAAATACAAGTTCAACATCATCAATTAATGATGTTTTATATACTAATTGTCCTAATATATCATCATCATCAAATTTAAATACAAGTGGAATAATAACAACAACAACAACAACAAATCCAAATGAAATTGTTCTTTCACCTGAAGTTTCATTTAATATTAAAATACAATCACCTGGTTTAGATATATTTGATTTATCGGTAAGAAAAAAAAAATTTTTAAAAAAAAATTAATCAATAGAAATATTTTCTTCTAGGTAACATCAAGTGAACTTGTACAAGAAATTCATCAAGTTTTAATGGATAAAGAAGAAACATGTCATCGTACTTGTTTTTCATTACAACTTGATGGAATTATTTTAGATAATTTTTCAGAATTAAAAAATATTGATGGTTTAAAAGAAGGAAGTCTATTAAAAGTTGTTGAAGGTTTATATTTATTTTTTGTTTTATTTATTAAAACAAAATAAAAAAAATTTTTATTTTTTATTTAGAACACTATACTGTACGTGAAGTACGTATTCATATACGACATATAAATGAATTAATACATGCATGTGATTTAAATGATTTATATAATGGTACAAATAATTATTCATTATGTCTTGTGAATGATATTAATACTAGTGAAACATCTTCATTATTGAATATTGGTAAAAAAAACTAATAGGATTTTATTAATTTCGATTTTTTTTCTTAACGAATTTTCTTTTTAGATCGAAGAAAAGGTAGTGAAACTAATGGAAATGATTCTATTGTACCGGAATATCTTTTACCTAATCAAAAAGATATTCTACTTACACCACTTTTTACGACAAATAATAAAATTAATGTAAATATTTTTTTTTTTTGTTTTAGTTCAATTATAGGTTAGATATATTATAATGAAAATAATAAATATATGAAGAACATACATATAGTTTCTTCAGATATTTGTTAGAAATGATCAAGTCTATATTTTAGACATGCATTATGTCAAAGATGACCTTTTCTATATAGATAACATAAGTTCTTGTCGATACTCTGTATTAATCTTACTTCACAGCTGTTAGTCTGAATTCGTAGAATATAATATAAAGGTTTCCGAATTGATCGATTTCTCAGAAGTTTGATACTTTTCAATTCTGAGTTTTTATTACTCTGTCTATCAATGCCTGGACTTTCGAGTCGAGACTAGTCTGTTTCCATCATTGAGAACTATCAAAATTCTAACAATTCTTCGTAGAAATTATAATAAGTTTAGAATACTCTATCAGAAACTATCGTTAGATTTCATCGAGTTCCTTCAAGTGATTGGAATTGGCTTTAAAAATGTAAATTTTGGTCACTGCTGAAATCTTTATTTTATATTTCATGCATTCTGGCTGCAACTGAGGAGTAAGACTGCTACAGAGAATTGACAGAGATTTATATTGTCTATACAGAAGAAGGTCATCGTCGACATAATGTTTCAAGAATTGTTGCATATCTATTATATTTCCTCATTGCCACAGATTGCATTTTCTTCATTCATTCAATCACGTAAAACGACAACGGATATAAGTTAAGGAAATTATTTTTCAACAATTAATATTACAGTTATTCATGATGATTCTACTCATAATACGATGTCTCAGAGAATTACAAAAGACTATTCAAACTTTTTACACATTTCTAATTAAATATATTCGTAATTTTGATCAAATAAAGTCTTAAAATAAATGTCAAATTCGTAACCTATGGTTATAGATCTTAAGCAAACCTTTAAATGTAGACCATTGCTTAGAACTGTCTCAAGACGACGATCCTTCCAATCAGTCACCTTAGTCAACGACTCCTCATCTAGTTCTAGTGACTTCGGGATAACTCTGCCATCATTAGATAAATAATCGTTAGTTAGCTGTAAAAAAAAAATAATGTCATTTCAATATATAACTAACAATATGTAAAATTGAATATTTTGTTTGTTCTTTTTGTAGCGATTACAATGTATAAAAATGTTATCCTATAGCGGTTGGAATCCACCAAATGGATCAAGAAAATTACATGGTTAATTAAATAAAAGAAAACTTTTTTTCAAATTAAATTTTCTTTTTTTCTCAATAGGTGATCTTATGTATTTAAAAGTAACAACATATGAAGAAAAATCATTTCATATAACAGCATGTACAAAAGGTTTTTATGTTAGTCAGTAAGTAAAACTTTTTTTTCGTTTGTTTCATATTGTTATGATTTAATTATTTTAAAAAGAACAACAGATGAAAAATTTCTTCCAAAACCGGTGCAACCTAAAGCTATATTTCATTCACTTGTTGATCTATTAAATAATGTAAGATATTAAAATTTAAATAATAAAAATAATATTTCTTTTTTTTTTCTGTATAGATAAGTCCAATTTTTAAAAAAAAATTTCGTGCTATACAACGTAAACGTTGTTCAAAACATCCATTTGAACGTATACAAATTCCATTTCAAATTCATCCATGGTTATCACCACGTTTTGAACATACTATAGATCATTTTCGAGCTGAAGATGGTATTATATGAATTTATGCAAAAATCATTAAAATTAATTTTTTATTATTTTATTTTAGCAAATATAAATAAACTTGGTCATGAAGATCATATACCTGGTCAAGTACGTGATTGGAATGAAGAATTACAAATAACAAAAGAATTACCAAAGAAAAATTTACCTGAAAGACTTATACGTGAACGTGCGATGTTCAAAGTACAAATAACCAAAAAAAAAAAATTTTTTTGTTTTGTTTAAAATTTTTTTTATTTTTAGGTTCATACTGATTTTATTTCAGCTGCTATTCGTGGTTGTCAAGCCGTTGTTGATGGTAATATAATGGCAATTAATCCTGGTGAAGAATCAAAGTAAGTCAAGTTGTTTGTATTGGTTTTTTTTTATTTGTCTCTCGATAGATTATGATCTATTATAACTTGTACTAAAAGAGAACCATAAATTGAAAGAGTTAGTTGGTGAAACATGATCTGAAAGGAGTGTTGAAATATAAGAGTAGAAATTTGGACTCTTCCACACAAACTTACGAAGGGACCATTCGGACTGATACCTACCGTTTGAACTTATTTTACTGAATTTTCAACTCAGCTATAAATATATATCAAAAAGCAGAATTTTGCCTATAAATAGGTCGAGTGATTCATAGAATATCGCGAAAGTTTTTTGTTGAGATATCGAATTTCTAAGTAAACTCGATTTTTAAGTCATGCGCCTGTGGTAAGCGATTAATTTTTTTTTCTTCGAAATTCGATTTTGCCATAAAAGAACGTTCATTTCGGCTGAAACTTTCATAATATTCTACTAGTCTGGTGGTCTATCTATAGACGACGAAAATCAGTCATAACTCGGTTTGAAAGGTCAATGGGGACGAACTCTTTTAGAATTTTGCTAGTCTCATCAAGACGTCTTTGTAGATTCAAACGGTGAGTATCAGTTCTAGTGATCTCCTCATTAGTTACTGAACTAAAGTCTTCCGTTGGATTATTATAAAAGAAGATTGAATTTAACATACTTGTTTTTGATCATTGAATCATCTATTGCCTAATCTCTTGATTTTCAATATATAACAGCTCGATCGTATTTCATATCATTTAAAGTTATAATAAATATCATAACATATTAGCAAAACTTCAAGAAATGATATCTTAATATTCGTTATTATCAGACAATGATGATGAATGAAAATGACATTCCCAGAAAAAATAACGATCTGTCAGAGAGAAAGTTTTTGTCTATCTGCAAGTTTTATTATAATGTCAATAAACAGACGAATGATTCATCTCAAACGTTTAACGTTCGAGAAAATTTCCAATATTTTTTCTTGCACTTTCAATTCGAATAATTCCTTAATAAATTTATATTCTAAATAATTTTTTTTCTAGAGTTCATATGTATATATGGAATAATATGTTCTTCAGTCTTGGTTTTGATGTAAAAGATCATTATAAAGATTTTGGTGGTGATGCTGCTGCTCATTCAGCACCAGCAAATGATTTACAAGGTGTTCGTGCTATAAATACACTCGATTTAGATGGCTTACATACATTAGGTACTGTTGTTGTTGATTATCGTGGTATGCGTG